GTTTCATTTCATTTATTATAATTATATTTTTTTAAATATATTTTATTGTTTTCTTATATATTACTCCAATTACAATTGTTCAAGTCTAAACTAAAAATATTTTTGTATTTGAGCTCTAAAAAAAAGTCCATGGGTTTCGTATTGTCTATTTTCTTTGAACGAATTTTGTTGACCATAAAGATCCAATTTTATAATAATAAATAATAATTATTATTACTTTATTATTCTACTACACAAATTATATTTTTGGTTGAATTGCTTCTACTCTACATATATTTTCCTAAATATTAAGGGCTCAACCTCTTCGAATACATAAACTATGTTTCTGCTCTAATCATATGTTACATAGAATTTACTTTACTACCCCTTAAAAAGAAATCATAAAAGAAAAGACTCGAATATTGCATCCCTAATCTTAATAAATGCAAAGTTAATGACATTAATTTTTATTGACATCTCTAAGTTTGCCCACTTTCAATACGATAAGCGTATCTCCGATACGTATGTATGTATATGGGCAATTCTCGTAAAACTTGTTTACCCTGCAACAGTGTTTGGAGATTTTCGTTTTATGTTTAATTTAAAGTTGAGACATTTCGTGGAATTTATGAGCGCAAATGCATTGGCATAACATGCACTGAGGCATCGGATTGGCTTGCAGTTAAGACGACGCGACGTGCCAGGTCCTTGGTCGTGTTCTCGCGTGAGTCATGGTGTCCCTGGCATTTACTTACTCACCATTATGACGACGTTGGCCGATGAATAAATTGCACGCGCAACAGCGACGCGTTGCCTCTGTCCGCCGGATAGATTGATGCCCCGTTCGCCGATTATCGTAAAATCACCGGTTGGCATTAGTTCAATATCCGGTTTTAGTGCGCACGCATCCAGCACAAAATCGTAACGCTTCGGCCGAAATGATTCACCAAATAGGATATTCTCCCGTATTGTATCATTAAGCAGCCATGGAACTTGCGGCACATACGATATCGTACAGTTTCTGAGAAATATAATAAAACATACAATTGATTACACAAATTGCTGCTATAGAAAAAGTAGGCATTTTACCAAGCATTAACTAAACTAGTTATACTTTATTTTATGATGCTATTGAATCTGTTATTTTCTATAGATTCTCTTTAATTCAATTTAAATAAATGGTAGACAAATTTGTTTAATTAAATGGAATTTTAGGTAGATTTAAATAAAATTCTTTAACATGGTAATGCAATTTCCACAGACACGACGTTAATAAATACTTATTCAATTAATTATTAATTTTAACACTCTTATATTTTTATTAAAATTCGTATTTAATATTTAATAAACAGAAATCTAGATATTTATCTCTAAGCTCTTGGTAACATACCTGTTACAAGCTTACATACATACCCTTAAATTCCCACTAAAAACGTCGCCTACCATCCGCTTATGCTGTAAGCTTATCTACATACAAAATTACTATAGGTGTGAGCGAGATAAAACATTAACCAACCAGAATTTTAAGCATTAACAAAATGCAAGCTTTGAGTATGTACATACATACGTTTTATGTTTGATCATACATACTTAACTACACACTTAAATTCACACGAAAGCTCTTTTCAAATTGTAACCAGATCAGCCGCCCTATGACTTTCCTACACGGATGCTCGATCAAGACTAATTAGTAATTACTGATTTATGCATGAACTAGTGCTGCAAAAATATCGGATCGGAATCGTTATAATCGATATTTTCGAATTTTGGCAAAAGATCGATATGGCTTTCTTAGTATCGATATATCGAAAAAATGGTTATTCTTGGCGTTGGTTTTAACTGTGTAAGAAGCGCATTTATTTAATTTTGCTAAATTGTATACAAATTGATTGA